AGCACCTGGTCGTGAAATGTTCCAATAATACGAGAGGTATGAACGTACAGCCGGCCAAACTAGAAGTGGATGGTGAACCCATTTTCCCCAAACGACGTGTAATTCTCTACGGCCAACGTGATGGTGTACTGCAGGCCCTTGGGAAAATGGAGAGCGATGGCATAATCACACGAGTCACATCCAGTACGTGGGCAACGACAATCGTGATGGCTATCAAGAGTGACGGCAAAACACCGCGAATTTGTGGCGACTACGGCTTAACACAACCCGCGGCTGTGAAAGTGTGCGGCTATCAACATGGAACCGGAGGACTTCATGAAAGCACTGCATGGTAGCACATAACTCTCGAAGATTGACTTGGCCGATGCATACCTCCAGATTCCACTTGCACCAACCTTCCGGCATTTCACCACTATCAACACACCATGGGGACTGTATCAATACAACTTCCTACCGTTTGGTCTCCACACATCCTCCGGCATATTCCAGGCGGCAATTGATGAAGTCATCCGTGGACTCGATGGCGTGTTAGCGTACCAGGACGATGTCATTGTACTTGGCACAACGAAGGCCGAGCATGACGATAGACTCTTCAAACTACTGGAGTGGTTCGCCCAAAAGAACGTGTCAATTCGCGCCTCCAAATGCTTGTTCAGCTCACCAGAATTGGAATTCTTAGGTTTCACAGTAGATGAAAAAGGCTATCGCCCTGGTCCAAGTCGCTTCGCCCATTGACTGAACTCGAGTCACCAAGAGACCAAAACCAACTCAAATCCATTATGGGATGTCTCCAATACTGTTCGCGTTTCATCCCGAACTTCGCCACAAAAGCCCAACCTCTGTTTGCTGCTCAGTTGACTACGGAATAAAAATGGACTACCGAATGTGAACAAATTCTGCGTGAAATCATTTAGATGATAACTGACCGACCATTACTCGACACCTGACCTGACCTGACCTGACCTGAGAAAACTGATCCGTACCCTGCAAGAGGCGCTTCGGAGAGCCCATAGATTTCTCATCGTGGAGGATCTAAACCTGCCTGAAGTAGCTTGGGAAGAAGAAAGAGCCCCTAGAGGAACTGCGGGGTGGGCACTACTGGAGCGGAACCAAGCGCATTTTTAATCGGAGCTGCACAGGACAGAAAATCGCCACGGCCAATCGAGCGTCCAGGATTTCTTCGGTTGTATGCGGTCAAGTATGGCACACGCCACTGCGAAAAGTAGTCGGTAACTTCCTGGCTGGAAAAAGGAAGGGGAAGATGCCTCATCGATTCCAGTCCAGTTTTCACAGGACAGGTCAGGTCAGGTCAGGTGGCACAGGACGATGAGTGCTTTCGCCAACCGAGCGTCGAGATTCTTGCTCCAGCCGGAGCCACGTTCTTCCGGAGCTTCGATTTCTTGTCAACCGTTTGACCACAGCCGATTTCTTCGTTTGAAACAGCCTCTCTTATGGGGTCCGTATCTGATAGGGTAGGTTATTCGAGAATAAGCAGCATGGAATAGCTTCTCTCAATAGTAGGCACTTTACCAAATCTGAGGATAGAGGCTGATCCAGACCCCATCTATTTGCCGTTTGAACTCCTCGACTGTCCTACAGTCTCATAGTTAAGATGGTAGTTGGTTTTACTCATCTAGTGCTTTACTTGTGAAGAAGTTGTGCTAAGCTCGAGTCGGTCACTGGGCCTCATTTACTTCAGATGATGCTCCCTTTTTGACTCCAGCGGTCCTCGGCTAAACAGGCTGTCCGCCTCTGGCCCAGTCAGCCCCTTAATTATTTTGAAGGTCTCAATAATGTTGCATCTCAGTCGTCTCCTCTCCATGAAGAAAAGCTTTGGGGATTCTAATCTTTCCCTATATGACTTACCCCTCATTCCCGCGATCATTCTAGTATCTAACCTTTGTACCCTCTCAATGGCAATGATAACCTTCTTCAAGTAAGGCGCCGTCTGTAGCCAGGCGTGTAGTATATACCGTCTTCGAAGCCATTTTTCCATCTCTGGTGACCTTATGCTCAACATACATCTCAAACTGTTGAATTAAGGTCCAGCAATCTTTTGGATCACCAACGAAGCTGGTTGGTTCCAATTTCGGTAGGTGTGGGCAATCAGCGACCGCGGACGATGTTGACCGTGGTTGCTCCCTCAAGTTTTCGAGTTCCGAGTTGGCACTGGGGAAACACTTTGAATCCCTAGGCAGGTCGCAGGGCCTTTTGTCTCGGTCGATCTGCGACCGTTTTTTTCAGATCTGCTTCCTCCTTGATTCTTTGCTGCTCTTCCACTATCATGTCTATCTTGTCCATCTCAATTTCACTTTTTGCCCGCAACAGCTTAGGTCGCCTACGGACCACTATGTCCTTAACTTCTAGCTCTAATTCCTGCTCTAACGGTCTTTCTCTAATTTGGGCTTTGAGCAACATGGAACGAGCAATTCTGGCGTGAGATTTAGAACTAATATCGGAACCATGGCATGAAACAGCATTATCAGTGACTTGCCTCATTGTCATGGGTTTGTCCTCCGCATCACCGATTTGTTTCCTTGTGAGCGGCATCGGGTTTTCAGTTCAGTACTCCCGTCGGTGCCACATAGCACCAATAAAAGTTTATTGCGTCCTTCCGTCGTCGAATATTCTCAAACAAAATCAACATCTACCGCAAACGTAGCTCGAGATCAAAGGCAATTCCGTCCGACCGTGACCGTTCACAACGAAGACCAAGCCTCCAGGAGAGATTGTAAAATTTGAGTGCTTTTCTGCTTCCAGTCCTGCTCCGTATGGAACAAATAGTGATACTCGGTGTCTCCGAGTAACGAGCCAAATTACAAACTGCACTTCGTCCGATTGGATCCAAACCTCAATTGCTTCCTTCGTCACAAAGCAACGGGATGGAAAAAATTTGAGTATTGTTGCGGAATGTCGTCCAGTGGTTGAGTGACTCGGAGATACGAACCCCAAGTCCGATTATTTTGCCGCTCTCAATATTGTTGCATCTTAAGCGTCCCCCCTCTATGGAGAAAAGGGATTCTAATCTTTCCCTATATGACTTACCCGTCATCCTCGCGATCATCTTAGTAGCTAACCGTTGTGCCCTCTCAATGACAATGATATCCTTCTTCAAGTTAGGCGCCAAAGCCTACCTGCAGTGTTCTAACTGCGGTCTAATTATGGCCTCATATAGAGGTAGGAATACTTCGGGCTTCTTTGGCGACAAGGCCGCCTTAAGCTGGAACAATTGCCTCCTTGCATTTGGTGCGGTGGCTAGGCATTGATCACTAGGCAGAGCTTCTTCCAACCGAATTCTATAATTCCGGTTGGTGATAAGTCGAAAAAGAGCAACCATTGTGGTACCTTCTGCCAAACCCTGTCATAAACCCTAAGAAACCTCAGAAGATTCGATTGTGCTGCCAAGTGTGCCGGGATTCCTCTAATTGACCGTCTACTTCAAGGCCCAGATCTGACGACTCCGCTGATTTAGGTGCTGTGCAGCTTTCGTCTGGGGTTAGTTTCGGTAGCGGCTGACATCCAGGAGATGGTCACGCAGGTTAAAGTCCCTGAAG